AGATTAAAGGATAAAAAGGACACATTATAGAATATTGAAATGCATTTCATTCACATGATATACTAAAAGACAACATGCACGCCTGTTAACAAAAAAAGTCATATTAAAATCACGAGCATAATCATAGAGTTCATGTTACAATTACTTTGAAATTGAATTAAGAGTCATAGGAAATTCAACGATCTTCCAGTTGTGGAGTTCTTCACATGGGTCACACGGATATACGAAGTTGGCGTGACTATCATCATCATCTTCCTTAATCATAGCCACTTGATCTACGTGCACCACCCCCCGGCTTCGAAAGCTTTGATAAAGGTGACAAATGGGAATCTTCTGAACTTTAGGCTCTCGATTCTCTAGACGAGCCAACCTTTTCTCTTTTTTCTCCTCTACCATTCTTCTTTTATCGGCTTGAGTAGGTTTGTACCCTAGCCCCCATCGATTCTTGTTTTCTGGCAATTCTATCAATTTCGTAACTCCTTCCAAGCATTTTCCCAACCCAAGTCCTGGCTGGTACCCTTCATTCATCATGACCTTTGCAACCATCATGGATGCGTTTGATGGTTGTGGACTTCCCATTGGAGATTCAACATAAGTAGTACTAATTATTTCCAATGACTGAAATGAGGTTTCCAGAGCCTCCTCAGTTGCTTCAATATAACGAGTGGGAGTAGGACAACTCACCAACATGTCTTCCTCACCCGAGACAATCAATAGCTTGTCCTCCACAATGAATTTCAGCTTCTGATGTAAAGAAGAGGGAACAAACCCAGCTGAATGGATCCATAGCCTTCCCAACAAACAACTGTATGCAGGTTTAATATCCATGACTTGAAAAGTTATGTTGAAAGTGAATGGGCCAATCTGGATAGGGATCTCGATCTCTTCCATAACTTCCCTTCGAGATCCATCAAAAGCCCTCACGATCATGGAACTTGGTTTCATATATGTCCTGTCACAAGGCAATCAATCTAATGTTGACTTGGGCATCACATTCAATGAGGACCCATTATCGATAAGCACCCTAGCCAAAATGTGATTTGCGCATTTCACAGAGATGTGTAAAGCCTTGTTATGTGCCCTTCCTTCAACTGAGACTTCATCGTCTGTGAAAGTAAGGTGATTGTTAGCTGTAATGTTACCAACGATGCCACAAAATGTGTCTAGTGTGATATCATCGGACAAATGAGCTTCGTTTAAGATCTTCATCAACAAATTTCTATGACTCTTAGAATTCATCAACACTGATAACAAAGATACCCTTGCAGGAGTATGATTTAACTGATCAATGAGCTTGTATTCACTTTGTTGAATAAACTTAAGAAATTCTACGACTTCTTCATCCGACACTTCCTTTGTCTTTTCATCCACGACTTTTTTATCGTCCCTCCTCTTAACACTCGAAACTCCTTCATTGACGATTGTATTTTCCTTTTTCTCATGGTTTTTTGTCAAGTCTCCTACTCTCAACTCTTCTGGAGTATAGACTCTACCACTACGGGTCATTCCACCTACCCCCGCGATATTTGTTACGTTGGTTCCTGCAGTGTCAATGCCTTCTTTTTGTTGGGCATTCACATAGTCACTCTCTACCTTCGCATCGTAACACCATGGGACCGCCCTAGTGTCCTTGTAATGAAAAGGAGCTGGAATTTGCACAACAAGTGGCTTAAGGGTACTAGGTGTTGATGCGAAAGTGTTTTTGGTGAAGGTGATTACCAGTGGTCTTGGAGTAGTCATATTGGACTTCTCGTCTGATTGAATCATCAATACATCCTCTTTTGTTCGCACCTGGCTCACCTGAACCAAGTTTGAGTTAATCATGCCTTGCAATATTTGCTTGAACTTGCCACATTCCTCAATAGAATGTGCAGCTGTAGGGTGGAGATCGCACACTCCTGCTTCGCGAGACTATCCCTTAATCATCCCATATTTGCACAATTTTGAAAAAATGAATCTCATGGGGGTTCGAATCTTCTCTACTTCTGTCACTTGTGGAGTACATTCTTCTTTGATAGCATTAACCGATGAAGTCCCATGACCTGGAAGTGGATTATTTCTTACATTCGGCTCGCTTTCCTTAAAGCTTAATAATCCTGCATCTATCAAGTCTTGTACCTTGTGTTTCAAACCCCAACATTTCTTAGTTGAATGGCCTATCGCTCTAGCATGATATTCACATTTGGCATTTGAATCATAACCTCTTGGATTTGGAGGTTGGACAGGCTTTATAGGAAAAGCCACAATTAGAGCATTTTGAACCAGATGTGGTAGCAGTTCAGTGTAGGTCATAAGGATCGGAACTAGAGTCCTTGGTTGATTGTTACCCCTTCTTTGAGCATTATTCACCATGGGAGGTGAAATTGTTGATTGATTTGCTTGGGGTACTAAAAATTGTAGTGGCACTGTAGGTGGTCGATAAGGCATTCTGGATGGATAAGGTTGTGGGTATGGTGGCAAAGAAACTGCTGCTATTTGTGGGTTATACATATATCGGGGTCTATAATTGGGTACGAAAGAAATAGGATTGTAGTTGGGTCTGACTGGTGTTGTCATCATTACGTTCATTTCACATCGTTTCCTCTTATTTGTGGTTTCTAAGGGTTTCTTGATGGTTGTGGATCCTGTTGGCATGTGGGCAATCTTCCCACTCCTAACTCCCATCTCAACCCTATCTCCAATGACGACCAAATCTGAAAAGTTTGATGATACATTTCCAATCATCATGTCATAAAAGGGTGATTGGAGTGTATCAATGAACATCGTGACCATATCTTTTTCCAATAATGGAGGTTGTACCTGAGCAGCTACCCCTCTCCATCGTTGGGCATATTCCTTGAAGGTCTCATTCTCTTTCTTCATCATATTTTGTAGTTGTGTGCGATCTGGGACCATGTCCATATTGTACTTTTACTGTTTCAAGAAGGCCTCTGCCAAGTCTTTCCATGTACGCACTCTTCCTCGCTCTAGGTTCATGTACCAACTTAACGCTGCCCTAATAAGGCTTTCTTGGAAGAAGTGAATCAACAATTTGTCATTATGAGCGCAGGAAGCCATCTTTCGACAATACATAGTGAGATGATTCCTTGGGCATGTATCACCCTTGTATTTATCAAGTTCTGGAACTTTAAACTTGGGAGGAATTATAACATCAGGAACCAGACACAAATCCGCAACATTGAAGCCATAATTGTCAAATCCCTTTATGGCCCTTAATCTGTCTTCCAAAGATTGAAGCTTATCATCATGGGAAATATCTTCCGAATGACAATGGTGTACAATAACAGTTGGCGCAGGAACTATCCCCTGGTGATTAGGAGGCCCGTCACCATGAATTACATTAGGTGGTGCATACATATGGGTAGATGGTGCACGAGCAAATGGGTGGGTTGGAATTTGTGGGTCATTGGCTTCAAGGGTTAGGTTTTGGGCTTGTGTTTGATTTGGTGGGTTTAAGGTGGAGGTAGACGGATTACCCTCAGGAATATTAGTCACAGTTGGCGTGTATCCTGGAGGTAAGCCACATGGAGGTAATGGGATTTGGCCTTGAAGGTTTGAAGTGGAAACATGATGGTTATTTTCTGAGGTCGTTAGGATGGTAGGTGGTGTGTACCCTTGAACACTCGGGTTGGGTTGCGTGCGTGGAGTAAACCCAGGAGGGTAATCAAGTGACTCACGAGGCTATTTAGATGACTCTCTACTTGCCCCTTTTTTAGATTCCATTGATTGCAACAAGTCCAAAATATTTCCCATTTGTTCTTTCAACTGATTTACCTCTTCTCTCATCTCCTCATGTTGTTGCTCCAAGTCGTCTACCATCCCTTCCATGATTTTGGTCTTTGCTCGTGTCCCGTAAGGGTGTTGAAGGGATGCTTTCTTTGCCTCCATAGTTGTTTTCTTTTTCAATTTTACAACTGTGTAAGAAAATTTGATAAGTATGCGGTGATATGAAAATGTAACTATGCATCATGTATGTGCAAATGCTAAATTGTTGGAGATCCATACATCGCATGACTCGTGTGGAATCATCTTTCTTTAATTGTCTCTTAGATCGTCACGTTCTAGGCACTAGTTCATGGAATCAGTGGATCTTTGTGATCATTGTCAATTAAACTTTCCTTTATAACGTCACGTTCTAAGTACTAAGCATAATATGAAACGAGTAATTTTCACATGAGCGTCCTCTCTTAGCTTTCATTTTTAGAGCGTAATATTACAACATATATAACGAATAAGGAAGAGAAATCAAAGTAGAAACTAGCAAATTTCTTCATTAATAATAATAGTGCAATACATCAGGTGAAGCAATACATCATGATAACTAAAAGATAAAAGTACAAATCATTCACCACCAATAGTCATCTCTCTCATCTTAGCTATCATAACTCTACAGTGTTCAAGGAAGTTATAAATTTATTTGGGAGTGGAATGTGGGATCGCCATTCCTTCAGCTCGTTGTAGTAGGTCAGAGGTGTCATTGAGCATGTTTTTAACTTGCTAAACTCGATTCACAAGATTATATGCCCAAATTCTTTGATTTTCTTCATGTATTCCGATGACATCCCTCAATTGCCTTACTTCTTCCTGTAGGCCCATAACCTGATGATTTTTCTCCCCAATGTGGCTTGATAGTCCATATTCAAATTGAAGTTTAGTCTTTTTTCGCCTTGAACTCTGCTTTCGTACTTAGCCACTACCCTTTTGAGTTTTTGCTTCAAATCCTCAAGTTGTTTTTGTGCCAATCCCTCAACTTTTTTGGATGTTTCCCATGCCTCTTTCCATCGTTCACCATCAACCCTAGCTTGGTCACGTTCACCTCTCCGCATCTTTAACTCTATGGAAGCAACCTCTAAACAATTGCGGGTGTTCAACTTACCTTCTTCTTCAATTCTTGCTCGCTTATTGGCTAGCTCAACACGTTGTCTTGCTTGAGAAATTTCTCTTTGCGCTGCTTGATACTTTTGGCGTGCCTGTATTAATTCCTTCTTCATATTTTCTTTTTATTTCTCAAATTTGGCTAACTCTTCTTTAAGTTTTTCGATCTCCTCTTGACTCATGGGTTCTTGAATTGGTGTTCCTTCAATAATTAGAATGGGACTCCGAAATGGTAACTTGACATGTTGGACCCTCTCGCTAAGCCACTGTTGATAACTCCCCTCCACATTACAATTTCTTTTTCCCAACTCTCTCCCTTTCTTGATCACCATGTCCCAAGAATGTCTAATCTTGTTAAGCATATCCAACTCCTTAGTCATATCATAAACCATGAAAGGAGTAATTGAATCCTTAACTGGTGGACTTCTGATCGGATAACCTAGTTTCCTTATCGCAAGAGCGGGGTTGTAGTTTACGCATCCCTTAGTACCCAAAAGTGGTACATTCGGGAAATCTCCACATTGACAAACCACTTCATCAATGTTTTGCTTTTGCGAGTACCAAGAGATGATCTTTTCACTAAGATTTGTTATGCTGTGAGCCCATTCACTCTTATTTTTAATCTCAATTTGACTTCCTCTCTTGAACATCCAAGATGTGAACCACAAGTATAGTATAGGCAGACAACACAAAATCATCCCACCCCGTCTCTCATGGCGCAAGGTAAGAGAATGATATGTATCAGCAAGGATTATGGCTAGTACGAGACTCTTTCTTTCATGTTTGAAGGCCAGGAAGATGTCGATCGTAGCAAAGTCAATGAAGCTTTCAACATTTGGGAATAAGACAATCCCATAAATAATGAGGGCGAGCACATCCATGAAGGCGTCCCATTTTCCACTCTCTGCTAAGCTCAACGCACACTGCTCAAGGTTAATTCTCGAGAAACCTTCAATCCCCCCTTTATCTCTTTCTTGCTTGCTAGTTCTCTGGCATCAATCCCCAAGGATGTGGCAAATTTGGTTAATGAAGGATAATGTCCCATGTACATATAAGGCTTTTTATTTCCTAAGCAAATCGCCAATATCTGTTCGAATTCCTCGAGCAATGGTGCCAATTGAAAATCTTGAAAGAGAAAGGACCTCAAAGGAGGGTCATAGAATTGGGCTAGGGCAGTGAGAGCTCCCTCTTGTACGTCTACCTCCAATAGGTTAAGGATTCTTCCATATCGAACAACAAAAGTTCGTCGCTGACCGCCTTTTAACATGTTACTAAGAGTCTTCAAACTACTCAAATCCGTTTGTCTGACCTTTAAATTCAAAGTCTTCCTTAAACTTGATTCCATGACTTCTCGAAAGGTGTTCGTAGCGACTTAAGTCTTTATGACTCTCCAACAACCTGGAAATGAATGCAACATGCTATTGATGAATTTATTTGTTTCATTTTTATATGATGCATGATATGATGTAAAAGTTTACTTTTTCAATTTTTTCCATGAAATGAAATGCATGATACTTGTTATGGAATGGAATAACAAATTTCTTTCTTTTTTGCGTCATACGAATATAGAGGTAGAATATTGCTCCTGTGACACTTAATAAGGGCATTCCTAAGTTGAAAACTCTATGGACTACTAATATGTGTTCCTCTCAAAAGGGTGAGACTATAGTTCTAAAACAGGTTCCTAGAGCCAATAACCCTTCTTAGGACATTAGTCACAATAATAGGTAAACTATTAGAGGTGATAATACCCTTGAAATGATCAAACTCTAGGTGAGGCCTTCACAATAACCAAACAAGATGTGCATCAAGAAGGTTACCACTAGTCAGCCTCTTACTTATCATAAGTTACACTCAAGTCCGGGCATAGGACCCCACTCATAAACGTGTGTGAAATTGTGCAAGTGAAGTGTGTGAAGGGAGCAACCCTACACTACCCAATCTACAAAACATAACACATATGATATAAAAAATAAAATTCTTCTATCCTAAAGTTCAAATTACACAATACATATTTATAGAATTCATGCGAATAAGACAAACAACAAATAAGGGACATAAATAATAAATAAATAAATAATAAAAAACTAAAAAGTAAGATAAACATTTTTTTTTAAATAAAAAAAAATTATTTTATCTTATGGTTCAAATTACACAACACATATTTATAGAATTCATGCAAATAAGACAAACAACAAATAAGGGAAATAAATAGAAAATAAAAAAATAATAAAAGTGAGATAAATATTTTATAAAACTTATTATTAATTAGCTTAACTAATTATCATAGGCTTGACTTTCACAAATAATTCTCAGCGGGGTCGCCATCTGTCGCAACCGAGATCGCGACGGGATGACGAAAAATAAATTAAAAAATAGGGAGTCGCCACCAATGTTATTTTTTACAGAAAAATATTGGAAAAATTATAAAGTAGAAAATAGTTTACGAAAACCAGATTTTTGAGTTTGGAAGTCGATTACGTGTGCGGAAGGTATTAGCACCTCAAAACGTTCGTCCTAAGATGATTACTTTTAATTAATTAAACAAATTATCTATAATTTATAAAACATTTATCTCACTAAAATGATCAAATATATTTATTTAACTAATTTAAATAATGCACTAAAAAAAGGTTAAAATTATTATTTTTATACAAAAAGGAAGATAATATATTTTTTTATTTTTTTGGCTCGACAAGATTTATTTCTTGCTCCTACGTATCTCCGTGTGTAATGAAGAATCAGAGTCACGTAGTTCTATGTAAAAAATATTTATGTGTTTAATTAAGTTTTAAATTTTTAAAATTTAATATTCTTGAACTGTCTCAATTCATTCACCTTAAAATATAAAATTGACTGAGGTGTACACCAGAGTCAATTCAAAGAATATTTAGCTTTAATTATATTATTGCTACTATGATATTTTGTTAAAAGATTTTTTGTTGTTGGATATTTTATTTCTTGGGAAAAAAAATCTAAAGATATCAAGTTGTCACAACTTGTATCTTAAATTTAAAGGTTAAAAAGATGTCACATCTAATTAGCCATTCTACAAATAAAATCTTTTATATAATAATTTCAAATATTTATGTTGAATATTGTGGTAATATTTTGATATTTAATTATGCATTTTTTGAATTAAAAAATAACTTTAAGATAGTAAGTTGTCACGACTTACATCCTTAAGTTTTAGGATTAAAGGAATGTAACATTCAAATAATCTCTTTTTATAGATATAATTAATACTAATATTGATAAGAGGATATCACAGTAATTATTATTATCGTTATTGTTGTTGTTGTCTAAATGAATTAAAAATTATGTAAATATCTAACACATTGTATAAAGAAACAACTTAATCAAATAAAATCAGTTAAACTAATTTTGTTAAAACAAGAAACAAATACCGTCATCTAATATTAAAGGAATGCCACATAATAATTTTTTTTTAAGAAGATAGATATTAATGATATTAATATTGATTAAAATTATTGTTATTATTATTTTTAACTATTATTATTATTATTATTATTATTATTATTATTATTATTAAGGTTACGTTATAACCTAATATAAAACTACGTAAAATCTGTTGTACGTATATATTAATTACGTACACTTCTTGTTATATATACAAGAAAAGAAAGAAAGAAAAGAAAATATATAATATTAAGGATCTGAAAAGAAAAAAATAAAATAAAATAAACTATTGTTGAATGGGCTTAAGCTCGCATATTTGGCCCAAATTAGAAAGAAAATGGGGGTAATCAGAGGGTCACTTAACCATCTCATTCAAACCCTAAAATAGAAAAGAATGAGGTTTGAGAAGAGTGGAGAGGCACTCTGCTAGGGTTTCACGTGCGGCCTCCCTCCGCGAGCTTTGATAGTGCGGCGGACTGCTACTATAGCGTCGTCGCAGCTAAGGTGGACGGCCGGATATGCAAAGGGAAAGAGGAGATAGCTAAAAAGGGAAACGAAGAAAGGTAGAGGGTGGTGGCCGCCACCGGAAATCGTTTTCGACGGTGGTGTGTGGTTCGTCTCGGTCGGGCATAGTAAAGGTCCATGGAAAAGGCTAAAGGTCGACGATGCCGCCACCGAAAATCACCTCCGACGGCAGCGCGTGGCGGTGCACGGCGACACTCGCGGTGGCCGAAAATCGCCTCCAGCAGAGGTGCATAATGGTGTTCACGGGAAGCACCTTTTTTCCTGGTACTATTCATCACCCGTTTTATTCTATTTTCATCTTATTGGAAAAAATCCAAGTCCCATATCGACTAGAGATTAGGCAATTACTTAGTATATAAGTGAAAAGCAACCCTCACTGGTTTTGTAGGGTTGAGTTAGGCTTAATCCACTATTCTAACATAGTATCAGAGCCATTTAGATCCACTTTAAAAATGGGCCACCCACCATTTATTGGTACATGCATCATGGGCATGAGGGGGTGTATTCAAGTCCCGTCATTAAAAAAGGGCCACCTACCATTCATTGATACATGCACCATGGGCATGAGGAGGTGTATTTCAAGTCCCGCCAATCTTAGATCATTGAAAAAGACCCACCTACCATTTATCCACGTACCAAGCCCAATAGTGCTGGACGTGAGGGGGGTATATTGGAAAAAATCCAAGTCCCACATCGACTAGAGATTAGGCAATTACTTAGTATATAAGTGGAAAGCAACCCTCACCTTACAAGCCGGTTTTGTAGGATTGAGTTAGGCTTAATCCACTATTCTAACACATCTAATTTTCTATCTGGATTTTTTTACTTGTTAAATGCTTTATTGAGGTTTGAGAATGAGGGTTTCGATTTCATGGTAAAAGGTTCACTAAAAATAAAATTGTCTTACTGATCAGAAATTGTTTTGCATCCTATATAATAACAACATCATACTAAATAAAAATCGGAAGAGTAATTGATACCTGTACTATTTTGGCCTCGTCTTTTGCCTTCTACTCGAGTTGTTTCTGTTTGAAATTTTTTGTTATCTTTGATTCTTCTCTGTTTCAAAAATTTTTTTTCGTCCCCCTTTTGTTCATGTTCTATTATATATAGACTCACTATTATTTTTAATTGTTCTTTGGCAGTTGGTCCAAGCTCATGCTTTTGGAAGCATATATGGCACAAACATGCTCTTGGGGACATGTTGGTGGCTAGGGCAGAGGAGCGCAGCAAACTTGTTGGAGGAGAAATAACCGTACAGAAAAGCGTGGGATGGCAGAGATTTTGGGTGCAGAGGAAAAAATTGTTTTGTTATTTTCTTGTCTTTTTCTGATTTTCTTTTATTATTTTTTTTTTATTTATTATTTATGCTTATTGTGTGTACTTTTGAGTTTAAATCTAGTTTATAAATTATTTGTTCTTGAATCATTAATTTGAAAATTTTGAGAAATAAATTAATAGAAAAATTAGTGAGATAAAAATTGGTGTTTACAACACTAAAAGAGAAATTCAAAGAAAGAGAAGTAAAAAAATTCTAATTATAAAAATATGTTATATAATTTACTAGAATATATATTTTAAAATTTTCTCTTCAAAGGTAAAAGAAAGGTAAAAAAATTTAAACTCATGTCTGATATAAGTGGTACCGGTTTAGGTGTTACAAAATGTGCAAGTGGAAAAAAAAAAAAAACTCTCCTACACAAAATCTGCAACGGTGATACAATACATAGGAAGCAAATGTCTTTAATTTAGAAATTATGAATGTTTAATGAAACTTTAAAATTTTATTAGTTACTTCTATGGGCTGAGTGTAATATTAGAGTAAGTTTAGAATTTTACTTTATATAAACAAATTTCAAGGTAATGGAGTGTCTTATTAGTATTTACTTTCGCAAGCACTAATATGCACACTGGGCCTTAAGAAACGAGTCATTGAGAACTTGCGCCAGCATTAATATCTATATTGGGCCTCAAGAAAAGCGTAATATTGATAATATGGGGCCGGAAAGAAAATGGGTTTAGCTTTTGCACTTCCCCTTTACTAAATACACTCATTAATTATTATTTTTAAATAAAAATTACTTAAGTAACTTTGTTTTTCCCTCCCTTTTAAATTAACATCACTCCTTGCTTGTCTCATTTCACTGCCTGCCCTTCTAGTTTTCCCATATTCCACACCTGTTTGATTTTTCGGATTATTCTCTAGCAAGGTATGAACATTCAAAGTTAATTCTAGCAAAATTAATTTCAATTAATTTTAAACAAATCAAACTACAAGGAACAGTGAAAATTACGTTATTGATTCTTTATGCATGCACACAAGCTTCAAATCAGGAAGTCTATAATATTTTTTTTTGTTAAGGACTAAATTGCATTCTACAGTTTGCGTTAAATGAGATGAGCTACATGCTTTGGCTGTAGAATAATAATAATTTATGGACGTTTAAGTCTGTTCCGGTCACGGGATGCGCTAGGGGTTTTCCTAGATCAAGCCGCAAAGCCAGAGCATTCGAAAAGTGTAATCTGTCGTCCTAGCTCTAGGGTTCTAGGTTTTATACTTTTGTGTTTATGGGCTTCATGGACCCCGCGATTTTCGGGATTCTCCTTAACCGCTCTTATCCTGAAGCCAGGGGAGTGAGTGGTTGTTAGTCAAATCGGTATTTTACCGAGAATGCCTTTACAAGGGGACCTATCGGGAAAAAGGCGTATCCCCTCTCGGGTGCATGTAATTGGCGTTATAGCCGAGTTGCCACACCCCGTGACGGTCCAGTCGGGAGTTAGACGAGTAGAAGGTCCAGTCGGGTCTTTACCTAGACGATGTGCTAGTCGGGTTTTTACCTAGACGATGTGCTAGTCGGGCTTTTACCTAGACGATATGCTAGTCGGAAGACGACCTGGACAGTCCACTTGCCCTTCAGCCTTGAGCCTAAAAGGCGATAGGGCTCAAGACATGGCCACCTGCTCGGTTATTTGTCAAGAGAAGGGTCGCTAACGTCCTATGACCGAGAAGGGAATCAGGTCAGAAAACGACCTGAACGGTCCACTTGCCCTTCAGCCCTGAGCCTCATGAGGCGAGAGGGCTTGAAGTCGAGTTTTCATATGTTTCCAAAGATCCCATTAGGCAGAAAGCCGAGTGACCCTCCTTATAGGCGAGTGGGGTTGGGTCAGGGGCTAGTCGATCGGAGACATCAACTCGGTCGTGGGCCAAGCGGCATCCGATCCAAAAGAATACTTGGAACGGCCCGTTCCACTTTTAGAACACCCCGTTTCAAGTTACTAAATTATCCCTATAACTTTAATAAATTTACGAAAATACCTTTAATAATAATATTATAATAATAATAATAATAAAATAATAAAAGTTGGGTGTTACAGAAACTAGGGTGGTTCACTTCATTCAGTTCAGAACACAAGATAAACAGTATATAAAAGATTAGATATATTCATATTCACATTCACAAGAAATCAGAGAGAAATATAAGTCACTCAGCTGCATGTGATTTTAATTCAATCAAACTTACAATTATCTATATATTAATTTTTGTTTTTTTCTTGAAAATCAAATCAGGAGAGGGAATGGAATGCTAATTTCTCAGTTTTGTAAGAGTTATAATTCTTTTACAAAAATGAATAAGGGGTGACCGGGAGATTACAAGGTAATATCTATTCTTGTTCCTTTCATTTTAAAATGAAAATGTGTGCTGCCTTTCGTCAAAACTCTTTCACCCGAACATACTCTTATAGGTCTGACAAAGTTAACAATGTTTCATATATATCACAAATAACACTGTCTTCAGGCTTCAGCTTCTTCAGTTATAGTAGAACTATTAACTAAATTTCAATTTGGCTAGGCTTGGTGGATTTTGATTTGAATTTTATCAAGTATGTGAGTGCAGAATTCTTCTAATGCTACTTTCATAGAATGAACTATTCATTATATGTATTTCAACCCTATTGAAAGTGGAGTTTTCTCAAGAATGAATGACAATTTATGACTAGAGATTCTAGAGTTTCTACCTTTTTAAAAAATGACCATTTTTTCTTTGTGTAGCTGAATAAGAACACGTGAACAACTGTTATTGCTATATTGCAATCTAATATGTTAGTAGACCATTTAACATAATCGGATATCAAATTTAAGAGAAAATGCTCTGGTTTTTGGAACAAAAAATTACTCTTTAGACTACAGAACATGGGTGAAGAATCTTATCCTACTATAGCAAATTAAAATGCATACTCCAAACCTTCAAACTCTAAAATTGCTGAAGTGCACTCATATCCAGAATACATATTGATAGTTTGCTGTTTGACTAGTACATTAGTTGATACTTGAGAGGTGATATATTGTTTCTGACTTCTGGATTTGCTGAAATATGTCTATTCTTCATTCTCCCTATATGTTCTAGTTGATTCTTATTGGTCACATGTAAATTCTTTTTTGCTGTATTTTAATTGAATGTATTTCTGGAAAGCCTAATAGAGGGAACTGGGCATTGAGCAGTAGAAGCTAGAATCTTTCAAAATAAATTATAAGCAAGCAATTATTTTGCAATTATGAATTTAATGCTCGGAATCATAAGACCCGTTTTAATGGAGTGGGAGATGGTGATTTGTTTGTGTGTAACAAGGGAATTATTGAGTTGACAGTGAGAGATTAATTCCTTTTGAGACAGAGATCACTGAAGTGGATTTTGCCTCTTCCACTAAAGGTTTTCTTAGACACAGTGAGAAACGATGATTAGGCACAGTTTTGGGCTGGAAGAAAGTTGGGTAGCTTTTGTTCTGTTGTTGTGAGTGCATGACTGGTAAAATTGTTTTTACTTTTATTTAGAATGAGAATTTTGGTAATTTATCTTTAGATTATATATCTATCTATTATTGTGAGCCATTGCAGAATAGTTCCTCATTTTGTTTTCTGTAGAAAAGTTAAATATATAATGGTTATAATAGGTGGTTTTACTGGATCCTGGCCTTGGTGCAAGAAGTTTAGGATTGTCTCTAGAAATTTTCTAAGATTTGTTTAGAATAAGGCACGTGAATTTCTAAGAAAAAATTGCAAATTGAATGCTAAGTACCAAGTTACCAAATAAGAAAAATATATATATTTAACAATATCAAACTATTTTAAAGCCCATAAATTTATAATTTTCAAGAAGGAATGCACATTACATATAAAACATGAGTTTGAATGAAAAACTTTTAAAAATGTACTGTCTGTGTTTCTTAGTGATGATTTTGATGCAGCTTTTGAGCACTCGCTCAAGTATGATGTTGGAAAAATTTTTCTTTTTTGGGCAGTTTAAGTATATTCACTCTACATGTTTCTTGTGCATTTCTTGGATGTATATTATATGTACAGGAAAACTGGTACCTAGAGTGGCACTTCGACGTATTGATAGTGTGGACTTTGGCAAAGACCGGAGAAATTTCTAAAGCAGATCTTCTAAAGGGCTTAAAAAACAGGTGAAAGTGTTTTATTTTGCATAAGGCATTTGAGATACAATAGTTCTGATATATTCATGTTATCTTACTATAGGGTTCTGAGGATGACTAAAAAGAAACAACAACGCATGCAGAGAGGAATGATGGTATGCTTTAGTAGCTGCTTCCATGAATATATGAAAATGTAGTTAGATAGTATGTCTAGTTCATAGCTCTAATTCTTTATTCTGTTGGAGTACGTGACATGACAACCTTGCTTTGTTGCACTCACTTTGTCACATACAACCTTAACCAATAATGTTACCGAAAATTTATCATTTACGAGTCATTCAGAAGTAGGGATGGATATTGCACAAAAATATCGAATACTTATTCATTTTAAGTTGTTAAATTATATTAATTCGTTTTTCTTTTCTTTATACTTCTAGATATAAGTAATTTTTTAAAAATATATGGCAATAAATTTTCTTGTTAAAACACTACCCTTCTTGTTAATATAATAACATCTTTTTTAAATTGAGTAATTAAAAGGAGTGTTTACTTATTTTCTATTTCTTATGTCATTATCCTTTTTACTAGGCCACTTTTATTTTGTTTATGTAGTACTCAAAGATAATGTTCTAATTATCTAAGTTTATAATGCAGTACTATGAAGTGCCTTGTGATAGTTTGGATGTTTAATTATCTGTTAGAGGTATGTTTCCCTCCTTAACTTCCAAATTATAGTCCTGCTTCTAATTTATTTACTCTTGTTGTATTTTATTTTCTTTTAATTTTTATTATTAGATATAAATATTCAATAATATATTTTAAAATATATTTTATTTTCTGTTAGAGGTATTCTTTTAATTTTATTGTTTTTCATTATTATGAGTTAACCTTTTGAGATTATTGTTTGATTCTTGTCTCCTAGTCATTTTGGAGTCAATTTGAACATAGAAATGTCTACACATCAACATAACAATGAAAGTGATGACGAAGATGATGAAGACAATGGTGATGAATATAGTGATCATATTGAAGGTGATATTTGATACCTTTTCATTCTTTGAAAGAGGATTTTGCTTTAATATCTTCATTTTCTTTTAATGAAAGAGGATTTACTTTTATGTAGGGCATGGTTGATTATAGGTACAAGTTATGGTGGATTGTAGATACAAGTTGACTCTAGTTCATGGTATATCATGCATATACAACAACAACAACCAAGCCTTTATCCCACTAGGTGGGGTCGGCTATATGGATCAAACGACGCCATAGGGATCTATCATTTATTTTTTAGTACATGGATTTTGCCTTGACATTTTCATTTTTTCATTTATTTTTATGCAAGGCATGGTTAATTGTAGGTACAAGTAATGGTTGATTGTAGATACAAGTTGATTTTACTACATGGTATATCATGCATATGGTATATCTTTTATTTTTTCATACATGGTATTTATAAGTTTATCAATGGCTGAGACTTTGGCAAAGTTTCCTCACCTAGGCATAGTAACAATTTATACTCTATTATTGTGGCTTATCATTTACTATTACTCTAGACCTCATTCTCAGAAGAATTCATATTTAGCTTGCTATGAACTTGGGAAACGATTGTTATATTTGGGTTCAATAGTTGCTCTATATATATAATGAAACACATTAATTAAGCAATAGGAATTGAACTGTGGGGTAGTGTTTGTGGTTGTGATCCTATACGTGCTCTTGATACCAGGCTTGCTTTTTCAGGTGCCTGGTGGAAACTTTTAGACAAGTGGTGCATCCATTCTCGTTCATTCTCTCCTCTACTTTGGTCTCATTTGTTTGTTCTTGATCTCCATTAAGGTCTACTTTTACATAGGCTAATCACTTCATTTGCCTATGTTAAGATAATTCTATAAGATATAGTTTAGATATACTAGTTTATTCTCTCCTAATTTTTAGTTTAGTTTCCTTAGTCAGTTTTATCTAAATTCCTAAACTTTAGGGATTGATTATGTTTTATGCCTATTTATTTTATTGTATCCATCAATTCAATAACATGAAAATTATTCAGATTTAAGTTGGTATCACAGCCTGGTTCGATCCAGGGACCTATGGGTATCACAGCCTGGTATCACAGCCTGGTTCGATCCAGGGACCTATGGGTTATGGGCCCACATTATATACTATATATTCATCTTTATGTTTAATTTATTGGACTCCTATGCTTATTCAAAAGTAACAACTACGACTTTAGTTCAACCTTTGTATTCTCTTTCATTTTCATGCTTCGGTACTCACTTTAATATGCATTAATCCATTAAAATATGTATCTTTTTGTTGAGAGAGACGTACAACTCAAAATTCAAACCTATAGGTACGTTTCACTTTAACACGCATCAATCCACGGTGCACTGTATATTTATATCTCCATCAAATCACTCTATTTTTTTAAAAATCTATTTTCCTTGTCTAAACGAATAAAATTATTATCCAGTTAGACTCCAATTAATTTGCATTTTTTCACCAAGTAATATTTAATTTAGCTTTTAGAGTTAATATTTATAGTGTTTTAACATTATCAAATTAGCCACTTTAATAGGTAAAACCAATTATCAATATAATCTTTAAGTTTAATGTAGATATAAATCAATTTACATTAAAATTGATTTATATTGATAAATAAAAAATCATCGTTAAAAACTAAAATTTTGTAAATAAATATCTATTTTATATTTATACATTTTTTTTTGAAACAGTCAATAATATATTGAATATGTGGCACTAGGGGTGCCACAAACCCACAATTACAGTGAAATACAAGGTAAGGTATAGTTAGGTTATGAGCAAAGCTAGGCAACAATGAAGAAGGTATAGTTAACTAACATTATTAATTTATTTATTGTGTTAGTTATTTATATTGCAACAACTTTTAAGATTTTATCTGCAACAAACAAGCGGGCACCTAGGAATCCTCCTTTCATACACATTCATATTCACTCTCCAATTCCTTCAGCATAAGCTTCCCATTAAACTTGGCAAAAAAAAAACCATGAAATCGAAGATTGGCACATAATACAGCAGCAGGCCAATTGTCAAGAAGGAAGCGATCCCAATTATGCAAATTGACTAATATATCTATTATGTCCAATCCAAAATCACTAACCTTTTACATAAAATAAAATTTGAAGTTAATATTGAAAATAATGTAAATATTGGATGTGGCTTATAAGAAAATGTGTTTATTTATATTGCAAAAATTTCCTGCGGATTAAATTTGCAGGAAAATTTCCTGCAAATTTTCAGTTTTGCAACAATTTCTTGCCATTTTAAAAATTGGCAGGTAACTTTTCTACGGTTTTTCTTACTGTTTTAAAATTCGCAGGAAACTTTGCTGTAAATTTTAGGTATGTAGAAAAGTATTTACACATTTTCTTGCAATTTTTTTCTTAGGAAAGGTTACCTGCGGATGTTTTTTGTAGCAAAATCCGCAAGAAATATTTAAAATATAATTTTTCTTGCCAAAATTTCCTGCAAAATTTATTATTTTCATGCAAAAATTATTCGCAAGCAATTTCTTACGAATTTTTAAATCCGTGAAAAATGAATTATCCACGAAAGTTTTACCTGCAAACTTTAATTTGTAGAAAATTTTCCAAGTAACTTGTTTCCAGCGAGTTTTTGAGAAAAATTTGCAAGAAAATCCTCAAATAATAAGGAAAATTCTAGTAGTGAAAGAAGTTATTGGAATTACGTACCTGCTAACCTTAAAGCCACTTATGGCTTCTTCAACTATGCATTACAAATATATAGTTTGGCAATTTGTCCAAGAACTTCATATAAGCATTTCTCCATGGTGGCCAAAGTAGTGTTGACCCTAACAAGACTCGAAAGCCAGCGAAGAATCCTAACCCTGAGCTCGTGTATAATGCTTCAAGGAAATATGAATTATCATCTTCACCATGAATTTTTGGTACTTGTGGTTTTGTTGGTGTCTCGTCTCCAGGACAACTTTTGTTGAGTTGTTCACCACAAAGTCCAATGTTTCCTTCAAAACTAGAAGCATCAAGGGTTTGCAACTATCTTCCCCAAGGGATTCTTCCAATGAAATGGTTGTGTTGTGCATCAAAGGGGTTACCACACATATACATATGTCTCCATATTGGTGAGATATTGTCCGCTATGGGTCCAAGCCCTCACGATTTTTGCTTTTGAACATTACCCAAAAGGCCTCTCAACCAATGGAGACAACTGTGTGTATATAAACTCATGTCCATCCTCTTGTATGAACAATGTGGGACTTTGCTTGTATCCCAACAATTCGCCCCTCAAAATTACGAGTATTATCTTTATAAAATCAGCCTTAAATACTCCTTCTTTATGAAAATCAGAAGTACTAGGCAATGGAATTATATCAAAAGGAGTGAGAGGGTTAAAGCCATAAATAACCTCAAAAGGAGAAAGATTGGTAGTCTTATGAACTACCCTATTATATGCAAATTCAATATGAGGAAGATGTTCATCCCAAGACTTCTTGTTGTTCTTTAAGATTACCCTTAATAGTGTGGATAGGGATCTATTTACTACTTTTGTTTGCCCATCTGCTTGTGGGTGACAAGTAGTAGAAAATAGAAGTTGAGTTCCTAGTCTTGCCCAAAGTGTTTTCCAAAAGTGACTAAGGAACTTAACATCCCTATCCGAAACTATTGTTCTTAAGAAAGTCTTTGATGGATTCTATATTAGTGATGGGTATCTATTTAAGATGGGTAAGGTATGCATGCCCAAAGGATCCATTCGAAAGCTTTCAATTAAGGAAAGTCATGAGGGAGGTCTCATGGGCCATTTTAGAGTTGATAAAACTCTAAGTTTTATAAAAGAAACATTTTATTGGCCACACCTGAAAGTAGATGTCCAAAAGTATTGTTCCAAATGCATAGCTTGTTTACAAGCTAAATTTAAAGTTATGCCTCATGGACTCTACACACCTTTACCTATAGCTAGCACCCTTTAGGTTGGCATAAGCATGGATTTTATACTTGGTCTCCCAAGAACCCAAAGGGGGCATCATTCTATCTTTGTGGTAGTGGACCAATTTTCAAAGATGGCTCACTTTATTCCATGCCACAAGGTAGATGATGCTAGCCATATCTCAAGACTCTTCTTTAAAGAAGTTGTTAGACTACATGGAATCCCTAAAACAATAGTTTCGGATAGGGATGTTAAGTTCCTTAGTCACTTTTGGAAAACACTTTGGGCAAGACTAGGAACTCAACTTCTATTTTCTACTACTTGTCACCCACAAGCAGATGGGCAAACAAAAGTAGTAAATAGATCCCTATCCACACTATTAAGGGTAATCTTAAAGAACAACAAGAAGTCTTGGGATGAACATCTTCCTCATATTGAATTTGCATATAATAGGGTAGTTCATAAGACTACCAATCTTTCTCCTTTTGAGGTTATTTATGGCTTTAACCCTCTCACTCCTTTTGATATAATTCCATTGCCTAGTACTTCTGATTTTCATAAAGAAGGAGTATAGGGTGGTTCACTTCATTCAGTTCAGAACACAAGATAAACAGTATATAAAAGATTAGATATATTCATATTCACATTCACAAGAAATCAGAGAGAAATATAAGTCACTCAGCTGCATGTGATTTTAATTCAAGTCTATGATTACCAAGTGTACTTCCTTTCTAAAAAGGAAACATTGTTCCACCAAGCGTTGTCATTTCTTTCTAATCCTTCAGCCTGCCACCACCAAAATGGACAAGAAAAAAGATTTGAAACTTGATCTTGAAGGAAACAATTAATTAGTCTACTCAAAAATATTATTTTGACGAAAATGAATATGGATTAGATTAAACATGTATATATATGTCCATGATGGTAAGTGTCAATTTCATGAAATAAACAAAACATCGGGTAGCTTTCTATACTAATGCTTTTCTTAATTCCACGCATTAAAGGGAAAAATGCTTGCAAAAGAAGGTCGTCGGGGTGTATTTGTCGTGGCTTGGGTAGACTTTAAAAGCCTTCAATCAAGACTCATTTTGTACTTGTTTCATCCTTTACTCTCTCTCTCTCTTTTGTTTTTTAATCAGTTTAATCATTTACTATATAATACTGCATTGAAATTTCGATGGAATATTGTGCCTTCTACACGACAAAAGTATATTTAAACTTCAAAAAGTAAAAAGAAAATTCAAGACCTTTGTTGGTATGCTTTGAATTCGCTTCTACAGTTAATGGTTGCTCTTGTCAAGGTAATATTCGCCTATTTCCCCGCCACATTATAATATATATATACTGATTATTTGCATATATTATTGTTATGCGTAGCTTGATGGAGATGGTGCTTTATCATATAGAGGTCATTATTGTTAATTCCACCTTGCTTTTATTTTCTTCAAGTTCTCATCTTGTTGGATGTTACGACCTACCCATTCCCCTTCCATTTCTCAATATATGGACAGAAGTTTGTGGTTGGTGTCTCTAGCGAGCTCATATTTCTTTTATATTTTAGGGTTTGTATATTTTGAGAAATTATTTCTATTTTTATTCATTATTATAAATACATTAAAATTTTTAATTTTAAAACAAAGTGACAATTTTGTAATTGAAAGTGAAAACAAGAAATAAAAATAAAATTAAATGTCCTTATTTTCTCATTTTATGTCGGACATCATTTAGTTTGAGAAAATATTTTTTATTTACATTTTTTTTAATAATTTTCATTTTCATACTTTGAAAATTAGGAAATATCCTTAATTTTACTTTTTTATTTCATATTTTCAAGTGACAATAAATTAAAAATACATCAGGTTTGACTAACTTTTATAAAAAATAATCATTTTTTATGTGTATAAATTAAAATAATAACAATTTATTTATTATTAAATAATTTTTTTTATAATAAACATGTCATTGTCTTTATTTTGAAATTCACATTCTTATTTATTCATACGTAAAAGACACTCTAACATTCAAATTATGGTTCAATTTACTACAAAAATATTTAGTGTTACAAATTAATGAGAGTCACTTATATCTTGATCATCTTGAGATTCATATTCTTGTTCAATATTTATTTATTTATGCCTCAATTGGCCATTGGAATTGTGGATTTTTATCCACAATTAACAATTAGGTAATTTAACCTTAATGCCCATTTGGTGTACTAACAATCTAGATAAT